CTTTTTTTTTTTTTTTTTTTTTTGGTACCGGGGTTCAAACTCGAGTCCTTGTGCTGGCAAGGCAGGCAGCGAAACTTTTGCTTCTTTGCAGACCTCCTTTGTCTCCCCGTCTCAAATGACTGTGCTTGCATTGTTCACATCAAAAGCTTGGGTGGTTCTTGACTGCTCTTTACACTCCATATCCAGTCTGTAAACAAGTGCTCTCCGTTCTGGGGATTGAACTCTGAGCCCACCTCCAACACTTTATTTTTATTCCGAGACAGAATCTCACTAAACCGCCTAGGCTGGCCTCGAACTCGCGGTACTCCTGTCTCAGCCTCCCAGATACATGGGATAACGGCCGTGTGCCACTTCGCCCAGCACTATTCCCACAATATATCCAGGAGCTGACTACTTTCTGCCACTTGCACTGCCATGCACGACCAGAACTAAATTACTATCATCTGTCACTTGGCCCATTATAACACCACCTCACTGGCTTCCTGTTGTCATCCAGGTCTGCTGGCTGTTCTCCACACACCAAACAATCCCTCTAATATTTATTTATTTAGACAGGGTCTCGCTATGTAGTTTAGGCTGGCCTTAAACTCACTCTGTGGCACAGACTGGCCTTGAACTCACAGCGATCCTCCTGACTCAGCCTCTGGAGTGCTGGGATAACAGTCATGCACCACCATGCCTGGCTAGAATCCATTCATTCCTTTATTTTATAATTATTTTTTTCAGTACTGGGGATTCTTTTTTTTCCTTTTTCTTTTTGGTACCGGGGTTGAACTCAGGACCTTGCACTTGCGAGGCAGGCGCGGTGCCACTGAGCTAAATCCCCAGCCCTCCTTTTTCTTTTTTTAAATTTTCTTCTCCTTTTGTTGTAGTGCAGGGGACTGAACCCAGGGCCTCTTGCATGTTAGTTAGGCAAGTGCTCTACCACTAAGCCATCCCTCTACCTCTTTGCTGTTTCTGCTGTATTTCTTCCACAGCACTGATCTCCACTTTACACATCGTTGTCAGGAATTGCTCAACGTCTGAGATTTTCTCCTTTTAAACTAATTCACTAGCTCCTTACTGTTTCCTGAATGCTGGCAGAAGACTTCATGAAAATCTGCAAAGAGACAAAGCATTCTCTTAATTTATAAGGCCAGCAGCTAGAACTTCATTTTGTATTACTTCTCCAAGTCCCCCGGGCCCCCGTGTAGCTAGTGAGCACTAAGCATGCCTGTTCTTTGTCTAGGGTAGGGGACATCATCTCATCCCTTAAGGTCCCTTTCCGCAAACACAGCCTGAGAAATAGCCTGGGTAAAGAGCTGTCAGGATCGTATTTCCTTAGCCTACCTAGGAAGAAACAACCGGAACTGCTCAGGGACCATAGCCTGCGGCTTCTCCTAACGGTACAATTACTTGTTTAGTACTCATTTCTTCAACTAGAATGTAAGATACCTGAAGTCAGTGACTCGGTCGGTTTGTACGTCCAGTACTCTAACAAGTGCCCAGCACCTGTGTTGCTCACTAAGTATTTGTTGAATGTGTGGATTGATTTACAGCCATTGTCAGCAGTCATTCATCGTTTAGTTCCGGGCCCAATGCCCTGCCCCGGAAATACAAATGAGCCAGGCATCACTGACCAACCCTGGGGTGGGGGCAGGCACCATGGTGACAGTGTGCTCAGCACTGTGACATCTGGGAGAGCAGGGCATACCCCCTGTCTACCCTGAATCCTCCTTGCTGCAGGCTCCATTAATTGTCTTGCTCAGAAAGAGCCGGAAGTAAATGGCTTCGCAGAGCCCCTTCCTCCGCCAGACAGGGGCTTTGATTCCTTCTGGCACAGGGTGTGGAGGGGGCTCCCTGAAAGTCAAGTAGCAGCGAGAACCAAGGAGAGCAAGTGGAGCTGGCAAGGGACCTGCTAGGAGGGCGGGAGCTGCTTCCGGTCAGGAGCCTCGCTAAGAAGGCCAGGTGTGAGCAGATGCCCGAGTCCACGGCGGAGCAGGGCCTTCAGGTAGGAGGAAGCACAGGTACAGAGACCTGGTGGGGAGCGCTTCTGAGGCCTAGCAAGGAGCTGAAAGTGAGGGAGGGAAGGGGCTGGAGAGGCGGTCGAGGGCCGGGTAACTGGCTGATGTCCGTAGAGTCACAGGCCATGGAAAGGCTCTGGACCCTCGCCAGGACTCTCCAGGAGGGGCCGAGCTGAGACCCATTCAGTCAGCGGGCGCTGAGCATCCGCCTTGAGCCAGGGGTGGTGCTGAGCGTGAGGATCCAGACTCCGGGGTATTGTCCTGCTCCAGGGAGTTGGTCAAACAGTGAGTGAGGCCACCAGGAGCAGCCAGGGAGCAACAAACGAAGGTGCCCAGATAACAGTATAGTCAGTGTCCCCGGGGAGCCCATGCTGCCTGCTGTGGGAGGTGATGATTGGCTGAGATGCCCAAGGTGACTCGCTGCTTGTCACATGGGCCGCAGAATGGAATTTAAGTAGTGTATAGGTGCCATGCTGCAGTGGAGGGTAGGGATTGCCTGAGGTCTTGTGTCACAGAGACCCGGAGCTGGCAGGGTCATCGGAGACCTCCAGGCCAGTGTTTTAAAAATTGGCTTCTGTGAGACCGTGGAGAGAGGCCTTGGGGCACAAAGAGACAGAAGGAACTGAGTGGGTGGGGCCCAGGAATACCACCCTTGCAGGAGGGACCCTGACTTTATCTCTCCAGTCCTCATCGGGCTTGGCATAAAGCTTTTGTATGAATAAAGAACTAGTGGCCCAAACAATACCTGTAGGCCACTGATGGTATGTTTGACATATTTATGAAGGTATAACTGACATGTTAGAGATTACTCTATTAGCTGGGCACACCTGTAGTCCTAGGTACTTGGGAGGCTGAGGCAGGAGGATCATGAGTCCGGGAGTTTGAAACTGACCTTTGCAACATAGAAAAGTCCCATTACAAACCAACCAACCAAGCAAACTGATGTACACACATCTAAGGAGTACATTTTGAGGTTTTGAGGTGTGTATGTATCTAGGAAGCTGTCCTCACAACCAAGGTTCTGGGCCAATTTATCACACTCTAATGTTGCCCTGGGTAACCGTCCCCTGTGTCCTGTCCCTCCCACCCCAAACTGTTAAGAAGCACATTGACTGCTTTCTCATTGTGGCCCTACCCTGGAAGCAACCGGATGTTCTTCAGTGGGGGGCAGATAGACAAGTCATGGTGAACAGAGATGTACAAGAGTGTGGGTGACCCTCAAAAGCATTATGCTCGCAGGCCAGGGATGTAGCTCAGTGGTGCTGCCGCCTGCCTTGCAAGCGCAAGGACCTGAATTCGATCCCTGGTACCAAAAAAAAAAAAAATTGCTGGGCAGCAGAAGCCAGATACAAAAGAGTGAGGACCAGTGTGATTCCATTAATAGCAAACCCAAATACAAAATCAGACCTCGGTGACAGGGGTCAGAGCAGTGGGTGCCTTTGGGGAGGGAGTTGTGGGATTTGTTTTTGTTTTGTTTCCAGGGCTGGGGATGGAACTAGGGCCTCTCATCTGCTCAGCACATGCCCTACCATGGGCTCTCCGCACCTGCCATCAGGGGTGAAAGTATGGACTGGCTAGAAACAGGAGGGACCTCTTTGGTGATGGAAATATCCCATACCTCAATCTGGACCGTGGTGGCACATGTATATGTAGGCAGAGAATACCACCGAAGATTTGTTCATTTTACTGTGAATTAAAAAGCATTTCTCTGTGAACTCACTCACCCCCATACCCCACATATACTTGAGAGGACCCATCACATTTCCAGGGCCCTGAGGTCCTAGCTGGCACCATGCCTGTGGGCTGGGGGACTGAAGACCCTAAAGACGCTTCACCCACAAACTTTCCCACCTGCCTGTTGTCAGGTTTCTGGGAATGGACTCTGGGGACCTGGTTACTGGAAGCCTCTTCCAGCCCTGGGGGCCCCTGGGCCTACTCTCTCCTGAGACCAGAGCCACTGCTGTTTACAGCCAGCTCCCTGGAGCCCAGCAGACACTCTGGCTACAGCCAGGGTGGGATGCAGGCCTGGGGGTGGACCCCGCATTCCCAGCGCCCTCCCTGCCATTGAATCCCAGCTTAGTGGGAGCAGCTGAGCCAGCTGGAAGGAGAAAGCGATGATCCTCACCCCTTGGGGTCTCTGCTGCCTCACCTCCACAGGGCCCCCTGTCATGTTGTGTTCATATGTCCCCCAAAGCCTCACGCAGATGAGGTGGGGCTCTCTACTTCAGAGGTAGTTGAATCTGGAATGTGTGAAGCTGGCGTTAAGGGCGTGTGATTACTAAACTATTACACGTGAGTGATTGGTTTGGCTCCGCCCTAACCTGGAAGTCTGAATGAGATAAAAGGGGCAGAAAGATGCTGTTAAACTCGTTACCTGTGTTGCCCTGTACACCATATTGTTTCTGCTCTGCCGTGCCTGTTTGTCATCCCTGCCTTATGGACCAAAACCTCTACAAACTGTAAGCCAAATAAACCCCTTCCCTTTTAACTCTGGTAGTGGGTATTCTGTCCCAGCAACGAGGGAAAAGTAACTAATACCCCCACCCCAATGCCCGTGGTCGGGAGTGAAGTTCTGTGTGTGGCTGTGCCTTGGGGTGG